TAGCTCGTTTGGATTTCCTTAGCTCCTTGTTGTAGGAAGTTAGCGCAAGTTTATACGGATTCCAATCGCCCGTATTTTTTGCTCTATTGAATAGTCTTCTGGCCTGGCATCTCATTTGCTCAAGCTTCTTACTCCACCAAGGCACATCTCGTTTGGATTTTACCTTTCCTTGGGGGCAACTGCTGTTGAAAGCTATTACAATATCTGAGTGAAGCTGTTCAGCTTCATTCTCAAGCTCCTGTTTGGTTGTAATGGGGTGTTTGTGGCTGTTTCCGCCCTCTTCTATAGTAAAGCGGAAGAGTTCCCAGTTCGTTTTCCTGGGATTTCTGAAAACTAGTTCGTGTTCAGGAAAGAGACCCATGTCGAATTCTATATGCATGTGGTCCGACATTGATACCTCCCCGGAGACACGCCAGTTTGTGACAAATGATGACATGTTTTGACTGCTGATCTAACTCTAATCCAAGACCTCCCCCCTTAAAGCATTTCTAAAAGTCGGTTCATTGCCACGATTTATAATATTTATATTATGACTACTAATAAACTCAAGGAGGTACTCACCCCTTTTGTTGATATCGGTGCTGCCCAAAACAGTGTTATGTGAATTGGCGTCACAGCAGAGGATCCAGGGTTTACCACTCTGCTGGCAGTGCTCAACGAAAGCCTTTACTTCTGCTGTTGGGGCCATCTCCTCCTCACCCGGAAAGTACGCTGAGGCAAGTACTGCCTCTTGTACACCCCTTGGAGTGGGAATTTCGGCCCAAACCGCAACCAGATCCGCCGTCATGAACTGTAATAGAGGAAGAAACGTTAGTTTTTTGCTTAATAGCATCGCCGCCCTTGGGCGAGGGCTGGGGGAATATATGATCTTACCATCATTGACGTTCAGACCTTTGACCTCACCGCGTAGTATCCAGGGTTCCTGGATGAAGGCTATACCTAGACCCTCGTTAGTGAACCTCCTGCAGAGAACAGCTGACGCTGCCTTGGCATGATGAAGATTCACTTGGAGGCATTTCAGATGCCTCGAGTTTGCGTTGGGCTTAGGGAGAGATGGCATTATTTGCGGTCTTTACGGCCGCGAGCAGCCACCTTCCTCCCCCTATTTCTACCCCGCAAGGTCTTCTCCTCGGCTGTCCAGTAGCCGCATTGGAACTGCCATGTAGTGGTGGCCTAATTATGTTCCGGGGGAGCTCAATGGGCCTGACATTTTGTTGGGCTCTGTCTAGCACCTGCTGCAGGGTCAGGACCGATGTTGCTGTGGGTCGCGGAGGCGATGTCACGCTGGCTTGAGCTACTGACAGCTCAGGCGGCGGCTTTGTCTTTTCCAGCTCCGGTGACTGCTGCTTCTGTGCTTGAAGGTCTGTTGAGAGCTGCCTCAGGGCGACGGTGACAGACTTCGAACAACAGGGTTGTTCGTCCGTGCCCGTTCCGTCGGTATCAGCGGCGTCCTTTGCTACCACTGGTACCAACGGCTTGGCTTTTTCCCTCAACTTGACCGTACCGTAGCCATAGTTGACAACATTTCCTCTCTGTTTGAGGATGTCTGCCAAGATCGGGTCTACCGCAATGGTGATTTCTACCACTGTGGACTTGCGCACCCGATTTAGAACTCACCAGTCCATTATTTTCAGGCCTTCATTCTGCCCCTGAAGAAGTAGTAGCGCGTCGTCATTCCTGGAGCTATCCAGCTCCGGGAAGAATCCCACCAAAATTATGCGGCGAGGCGTTTCTGTATCCGCTACCACCTTCATCTTTGCCCCTTTCCAGGGGGCAAGCTTCGGAACTGTAGCCCTTATCCACTCCGCAGTTACTGCGTCCCTGCAGATAATGGATAACCATCCCGGACGAAAAGTGCAGCCATCAAAAAAAGGCTTTACAGCGCTATCTTTGTTGCTTCTTATCGCCCTAAGGATGGCATTCTGAATGGCCCTCAGTTCGTCCGTCGACCAGACCGTAGCCGGATAGTCCTCGGGGACTATACCTAGCTTCACCTCACACAGTGCGTCCCTAAAGGATGCTGGTTTCACGGCCTTTCCGGCGTCTTCGCGAGGCAGGCTTGCCTCGGCCGAGGGCATTGTTACTGCCCCAGCCGGCTCAGCTCTCGCTGCATAAATTTGGAGACCTTCTTTGGGGCTTGCTCCTGTGGAGTGGAGCTCTTTGATCGGGTTCTTTTAGCCGATCTCTCCTTTTGAGGGGGCCCAATGGGCTCTTTCGCTAATTCCCTAGCCTCCTCATAGCTCATACCCTTCTCCATATAGCGCTTGAGGCGTTTCCGACCGGCTCCACTAAGCCGATCTCGCTCTCGAGTTTGGACGAGAGTATCATTACCTGTCGGAGAGGCAAGCAGCTTCTGCTCATCCTCCGGCGAGATATCAGAAAGCGTTTTGACGGGACTCGCATCCCGTCTAGCGCTGGTGTCGACCATCTCAACGTCATACTGGGGACTATGCGCCCCCGGTAGTTCTGTCGGGACAGTCCCCGTTTCGGCGGCTGCCGAAAGGCCATGCCCGGCCTCCTCTGCGAGCTGTTCAGCTCCATCTGTTTTTTTTATTATTGTTTTTTGTTTTACGTTTTCCATAGTGTTCCCACGAGTATGGGGGATAGTAGTACCGCTGGGACATAGCCCCCACTATCCCGAGCGGGGCTTCTTACAACCAGAGGTCGCCAGGTATCTGGAGACCACCGTTATAAGACACACTAACGTAGTGCCATTCATCCCACAAGCACGGTACGGATGACACTCGGAATTACGGGTTTTATCGAGTTGTCCTCTCTAGATCCGCCATATTCAGTAAAAGCAGGGGCACCTCTCGCAGGGTATGACTCTTCGCCACGTATGGTCGGTCTTGAGCCAACTGCTCCTGACTCAGAGCATTGCACCACGTATGGAACAATACCAAGAGCCTTGACCCCCTAATAGATTTTATAATTCCAGTGGGAAACAGTACCGAGTTTTCTTTTGTATGGGCAGTGATGCAGTCTACTGTACATAAGTTGACTATGATTACTGGGCCGTGCTATCATAGTAGCACAGTGCCACTAAGTGCATTTTAAAATTTTCAGGCAATAGTTTCATGCGATTATCGATCATATTTTTTGTTGTTAGTGTGAAATATTTTATTTTTATCAGTTTTCTTTTAATCAAAATATGTTGAAATAAAAGTGAAAACAAAAAAAAATATTTTGCCATATTGTACCGAAATAAGTGTGGTATCCCCGCATTTTGAAAAAGCCAGAATGAAGCATCATCTGTTTAAAAAATTAAAGGGAGAAGTATACATGCCTTCCATGAATCAATAATACAAGGTTGTGTAATTTGTGACACTCCTTTATCTAGATTCGTATTTTGGAAGTAGGGGAAAGGGAAGAATGTGATCGCAGTGTGCGAAAACGGTAGTAGAATGGTACTACAAAAAGTACGCAAAGTATACAATTAGAAGTAAAATGTGTATTATTAATTCTATGCGAATTCGCAATATATTTGGTGTCTTAATGGAAATACTAAACAATACATAAAAGTATGCATTTTTGATTTAAGTTATTCGTCATTTCCGGGAGCAAACCTACAATACCGACCGTTCAGTTATGCAAAAACGAAAAATGCAGATCAACAGAACTTTTTATGCTCATTTTAACCATGCCAAAATGATTTGGCGCAAGTAAAAAATGAAGAGGTTCTAGAAGGTTAAAGTTCAATTTTTAGATATTTTAAATATTCATGAACTTTATAACCGAATAAAAAGCTAATGACGTCACCATAAAGGTAATTAATTTGTTCTTCAGCTGATGTACATAATTTATAGCTTTTTGTGTTTTTAAACCAAAACCACTAAAAAACGAACAAATATTATTTTTTCATGAAATAACCTTTTTTGAAAAAAACTGCATAATTAATGGTAACGAATTTTATATTATTTAGAAAGTGCAAGNAAACTGCATAATTAATGGTAAAGAATTTTATATTATTTAGAAAGTACAAGTTATTATCTTTAATTCGATATTACATATTTTATCATGATCTACTTTTGGGTTTCAACAATTTAGTGATAATAAAAAATACAAATAAACCTCTTATATCTTCTTTTTTTTTACCTGCGCCAAATAAATTTGGTATCGTTGAAATCAGCGTAAAAAGTTCTATAAATCGGCATTTTCGGTTATTTTATAGCTAAACGGTCGCTATTCTACACTTGTTCAAGAAAATTACGCAAACGAAGCTGACGCCAACGAATATTTAGTATGAAAAAATTTTTGGGTTTACTACTAATATCACTAGAAACTATAGAGTAAGCAACATTCTGCACAAGTAAAGGAGCCGATTTTATGTGTGGGAGCGAGAAGACTGTTTTATTACAAAACCTTTCTATTATTGAATCATGCATACCTTCTATAATTTTGTCTTATATGTATATTTGGCAAGTTTTTTTTTTGTAAACACATTTTCAATTCATTGCCAGCTTGGCAAATATAAGCTTATTTTTACTTGAATGTGATATAAAGCTCATTAAAATGTTGTGTAATATCTTTTTATCATAGTGCTTTTTATTTTTATTGTCCACCATCTAGTACAAAAGATTTTTTTTTTTAAATTGTTTGTTTATTGCTTTTAATTTTTAGAATTCCTACTTTTGACATATATGTGAATGGCGGAGTTGCCGCTTTCCTCCTTTTCGGTGGATTTTATGTTAAAAGGGCATCAAAATGGGAAAAAACCTCCTTGGTATCTCTGCATCTGTTAAACTTTTTATGGGAAGATGTATGAAAATCCAACTTGCTATAATTTCATATGCTTAACAGTATCACAACAGTATGTTTACAGTATCTCCCCATAATTTTCCATATGAAAAAATTTATTATATGCTTCATACCATGCAAATGCACCATAACTCGTGTAAATGCTAGAAATGAATGTCGCATGCAGAGTTCTAATACGTATACAACTACATAGTATAATGAAGTATTTGGTGATTAAGGGTTGAACTAAAATTTATTTTCAGGGGAATACGTACACACATTCGCATGCATTTCGACAAGAAAGCCACCGACCTTAATGAGGAGCATTACATGTCTTGCATACTGGAAGATGAGGTGACGGAAATACCCAGCATTGCATCTGCACTAACTCAAGACCAATTAGCACAGCAAATAGCTGTCGCACAACAACAGCAATTGCAACTTCAGGCACAGCAACAACAACAGCAAATATATAACTGCGATTTGTGCAATTACTCCTCCTCCTATAAATGCAATGTGGTAAGTAAAATAAAAAAAGGAAAAATAGCGAAATCTAGAAATTTTATATTCTCCTCCATTTAGCTGCGCCATATGAAACTTGTGCATCCTCATATCAATATAAACTCACCCTCAATATCACCCGAAGGTAATGACATAGATACTAACGATTCAGCAACTTTAAACGGCGAGAATAGGTAAGTAACATTATACATAAGCATATACACCTTTATTGCAATTCAATTTTATTAATTATGTCCCAGTGTTCGACGTAACAACTCCTTTCTAGGTGCAGGTAGTCCATTCCGACATTTATTTTATGTTTTGTACATTGTCCCCGAAAAAACCTTTTTAACATATAAATGAATTATCTCGGTAGTAATAAGATATATTTCACAAAATTATTTGTAATGCCGCATCATGACGCATTCAAAAATAAGAGATTCTCCTCCAGATACCCATCCTTGTTCCAAAAAATTTAGGTAGATGTACCTACAAATGTACCTTTAAAATTAACTAATTTTTATTTCAAAAATCAACTGACAAATTCGGCCAAACACATTTATGCATAGGTACTTCATTTTTATATAGCATTTAAAGTTTAAATTAAACTTTTTTAAATTAAAAAAAAAACCTTTTTCAAATTAAATGAAACCTTTTTCAGGTTAAGCGAAACCATTTTCAAATTAAATGAAACCCTTTTAAGATAGAGCGAAACCTTTTTCAAATTAAATGAAACCTTTTTCAGATTTAATGAAACTTTATTCAACATAAATAAATTTAAAATAGGCTAGGAACGAAGGGTATTGTGTATTCAGCGGCTAATAGGTACCAACTATTAAAAAAAATGCGAGAGTCATTTAAAGTAACGATTCAAGCACAAATGAACTCTGTGAAGGGAAACCAGTAAATATACATACATATGTATAAAACAAAGTTAAACATTCTAAAAATAGAATTATTAACAAAAACCAACAACCACATGATCAAGTGTAAATTGCAGCGGAATAGCTGCGCTTGATTGTGTTGGCTTAACAAATGAAAACGTGGGAAAAATAAAATAACAAAAACAAATATGTAAGTTTATCTCATTATGTCTAACTGAACATTCTACCGAAGATGTTTAAAATAGGGGTAAAACAACCCCGGCTTACCATATAGCGGTAGTTTTCGGAAAGGTGGAAAACATATATAAAAAAAATTTGCATCGATAACTTAAAGTGCTAGAGGCGTCGCACTATAGGCAAAACACGAGTTTTTTTTCAAAATCGTAGATCTTCGCTTAGAAAAGAGATAATGGAATGAAAATTTTTTTATCGTGAAGATAAATGATCATATAATATAGGAAGTTACAACAACAATAACTTAACCCTCAAAATACCGTTCAAAATGTCACTTTTTTTAATTTTGGATTTTGGCTCCCATTCCACTAGAAAACACTATATTTAATACACCATTAGCACTGTTTCTGAAAGATTTCTCTTCATTTTATCTTAAGACTCGATTCTTGGGACATTGGATGCTGTACCCGAGTGGCCAGATTGGAAAAAGAAAAGCTACCTTTAAACTCTAATAACTCGTAAACTATCAGCTTTCATAAAAAAATTTATATAACAAAAATGGTTATACTGGTCGATATCTTTACGAAAGTGCAGCACTTAACCCTTTAATGCAGAGTCTGTCATATATGAAACGCTTTTTAACCCTTTCAAGGCAGAGGCGAAATGGTTCTCAATATGTTTTCAACGTACTTTTCATTTATTTTTATTTTTTATTTATCTTTATTTTTATTTTTAATATTTTTATTTTTATTTTTTTATTTTATTTTTTTTTTATTTATTTATTTTTTATTATTATTTTACTATGGAAAAATCTTCTACGATTAATATCTACGTTAACATGAGAAAAAGCACGTTCAAAAGCATATTGAGAACCTTTTTCCTCTGCCTTGAAAGGGTTAAAAAGCGTTTCATATATGACAGACTCTGCATTAAAGGGTTAAATGCTGCATTCCATTATCTCTTTTCTAAGCGAAGATCTACGATTTTGAAAAAAAACTCGTGTTTTGCCTATAGTGCGTCGCCTGTGGGCATTCTTTCATATATGAAAGTATGTGCCATTTCTACCGTTATATATTTTTTGTCTACTCGGTTATTCCCTGGGGAATTCATGTTTAATTTAAATTTAAAAAATTAAATTACTACACCATTTTAATTAATTGGTGTGTAGTCCAGTTTTGTTTTGTAGAAGTTTCGTTAGTATACACTTCAGTTTTTACACATTGAATATATCTGCATATTTATATATTTACGCGTATCTATTTACATTTATTTATGTACAAGTCTACAAAATCTTATTACTTATAAAGCGATTTTTAATCTTCGTTGCTTAACACACATTTTTTCAATTACTTATTGTGTTGTAATCGGCACATCTTTATGTACCGCTAACATCGTTAAACCATTCAGCCGCTCCTTAATTGTATAAAAAAAGGGACAAATAACATAGCATATTCAACAATTGAGTAGTCCACTTGCAAAGTGCGCTATGTAAGATTTTTAGTTTTTGGTGGATTTCATGTCCACTAACAGCAGAGTGAAATATTTTTCTATATTCTGAAAAAAATAGCATGAAATGTTAACTACTCTTGCAAAAGTCGCTATAATACTTATTTATACACTTTCAAATGTCTCCTCTTCGTATGAACTTAGAAAACTGTAAGAAAACGTGGTAGTTTCGGTGCCTAGTGGAAGAGGTCGCAATAAGAAGCAAACCAATCTTCCTAGAGGAGAGAACGCGAAAAGCTAAAAATAAAGCTAGCTATGTAAAAGTTACTGTTTCAAAACTTGCAATATTAAATTCTTAAATATAAAATTTGCAAATCTACCATACTGCTATTCTATTTTTTTAATGGTATTAGGCTCTTATTTATCCAAATTTTCAGGTAATAAAAAAAGATACAGGTCGGATGTTACTTGTTGTCGTAGACGTTTTTTTTTTTTAATTTATGGTTTACTTTTATAAAATCACATAACGCTGTTTGCAAGTGGACTACTCATATATTCATTAAAAGATAATTTGTCATCCGTCTGAAATACAAAAAATTTTAAATCAGAAGGTTAAAATAGTATTGTGTTATTAATTCAAAAGTAAATAATTGTAGTGCAATGACAATCTATCCCCCCATACCCCCCCCCCCCTGGCTACGCCACTGATGACACTTCTTTTGAAACCCACATATAATAAAAGTTCAAAAATTTGATTCAACTTCTTCCTCTCTTTTTCTAAAACAAAATAAGAACAAAAAAAAAGTATATAACAAATGACTACATAAGTGACCATCAAATCAGAAATTTTACCTTATGTGGTCCATAATACCCTTCGCCCCCCTATTTAGTTATAGTTTTGCAAAATAATTCAATGAATATCATCACGCATGTGCAGGCCTGGGCAAAGAACGAGCACACAATGGGCTAGCTTTTCTCAATATTCATCGCAATCTGGATGTTAATGTTGACTCGGTATTAAAATAATTTTTGTCTATATCTCGGTGAAATATATGTGACTTTTCCTTTTTGAGTTGTGGTGAATTATATCCACAATTATATACAATATGATGAATACTCTAAATAAAACAATGATATTCTTGGTTGTTACGAATGACTTTACATAAACCGCAACAAACACTGCATCAGTAGTTACTACGTTTATACGCATGCATAAGTCGCTTTAATTCATTTCGCCGCGATTCAAGACATATGTATAAACTGAATTTCAATTCGCTTTGAAAGAGCGAAGTGTTTTGGCTCACACTCCATTTCAAATCGGTAGTTTATTTAACTGTTGATTATATAGAAAAACGTTATATGAACAGATAAAAGATGATTAATTATACAAGTACGTACATTATTTAACGTATAAATGCTATCACTCACACAAGCTTAAATGAAAATAGCTATTTACTCAACGCTTAAAGGTGACAAAAAAATCGATAGCGACTGTCAAAATTGGAAAGACCAATTTTTTTCTATTTGGAACTTAAAAACAAGAGGTTAGAGGATATTGTGCCAAAATTTCACTGCAATCGCGGGCCAAGAATATATAAATAATTGCAATTGTTTAAATTATTGTTAATAAAGAATTAATTGTTTTGCAAATTTTATTCTGCAAATCTTTCTATTGTAAAGGGAAAAGCTTCAGCAGCTCTCAAAAAATTGCATCAAATTTCATCAAATGGGTCGCGAGTTACGCTTTTTCTCTCAAAAACTGCAATATTCTTATAATACCAAAAAAAAACAAAAACGAAGTGCAATTTCGAAAAACCGTCCAAATTGTATTATACCCGAGCGCACTTGTGCACAAGGGTATATTAATTTTGTTCACATAACGGTTGTTTGTAACAGCCAAAACTAATCGAGATAGATATAGACAAATGTATACATAAATGATCAGAATGAAAAGAGAAATCGATTAAGCGGTGTCTGTCTGTCCGTCCGTCTGTCCGTCTGTCCGTCCGTCCGTGTACACGATAACTCGAGCAAAAATTGAGATATCTCAACGAAATTTTTTATGTAGGTTTCCATTTATCCAAGGTAGGTTGGTATTGAAAATGGGCGAAATCGGACTGTAACCACGGCCACTTCCCATATAACGGTAATTTTCAGAAAGACTTATGGTTACATGTATATATCTTCGTAACCGCTGCACCAATTTCTTCCAAACTTTGCACAGTTATACCCAACATACCAAACGGCCGAGAATTTTTAAAATCGGACAATAACCACGCCCACATCCCATATAATGGTAATTTAGAGAAATACAAGATCTGCGATAAATCAGTAAATATTAAAGCTAATTTATTCAAAATTGATGCTTGCAACAATTCTTAACTAAGAAATACGTTTGTAATAAAATTTTGGGAAATGGGCGTGGCACCGCCCACTTATGATCACATATATGTATCTCGGAAACCGTTCCACCAATTTGTATTTGTGCTTGCCACATAAAAGCAAAACGTTGAAAATCATTGAAAGCGGACTAAAATTGAGGCCGCTTTTCATATAACGGTAAATTTCAGAACTGCTTGAAACTTCAAAATTTCGAAATCTAAGGACTCTAGTTTACTCAAAATTGATACGCCCCGGCTTACCATGTAGCGGTAGCTTTCGGTAAGGTGAAAAACATATATTTAATACGTGCGCTGGGTATTTAATGTTCGGCTCCGCCCGAACTTAGAATTTCTTACTTGTTTTGTTCTATAATTATATGCATATTCCCACAATTGTCTTCACTTTCCAGAAAATCAATGGAAATTCATTGACACAGTTGGCGTGGTTTGACTCATAGGTGATATTATATCTTAGGATATTTTGAGTAATTAGAGATGAAGTTTCTACGCACTTCTACGGTGCGCTACGTACCCGTTCGTGGGAAGCCGCGCTCTAACATTTATTATTTCTCTTCCAGCCATAACAGTTCAAGAACAACAGTAACGGAAATTATTTTCAAATAACCCTTTCCCACTAAACGAGAGAACACATCTACAAAAGATAAATCACCGGTTCCCTTTTGTCAGTTATTTTTTCTCCTAAATAGGAAGACTTATTTTGGGACACTTTCAAAGTGAAGAGGGTTATTTTCGATCTCTGGTTGGCACATTGAAACGTCTGGCGTGTTCTTCCACAAGTGTCTTATCGCCCCTGACTACAATTCTATGATTATTAGATGGTGGTCTATTGCGGCTTTATGTAAACAATGAAATCAATTTGTGGTGTTGATGAAAAAAGTTTGCAATAGTTCCACAATTGGCCTTATCCCCCATGAAATAAATCTGGAGGAGTGCATACGACGCACTAGAGCATACTTGAATTTTTTTGGTTTTAAAATCGTATATAACGAGGAAAAATACAGACAACGCAAACAATATCAAAGGAACATCATGACAACGGGATTTTTTTTTTTAATTGTAGTGAATTGAATGTAGCTTTCGGTAAGATTTATAAGGACACCATCAACCCCTAAATCATGGGTTAAAACAAGGGGTGAGTAGCTAACATAAAATATATACCGACTAAATTTTTCGTAGATTTATTTTCTTCTGTAAGTAATATTCTCGTATATCTCAAATATGAACCAAATCCAACCACAAATGTTCTAAATATCTCTACTCCGTAGTTATGGTTCGATTGTTGTTCATATTTGGAATATACCCTACAAGAATTGGGTGATGAAAACTAACACATTCACTTTTTTCTTACTGACAGATTTGCACACCTTTCTAATATTTTTGGGTTGATTAAAAAGAGACCATTGTTACAACAAGGTAGTGTTTGTGCAAGAGTGAAACAACTTACATTCGCCAGAGAAAGAAAGAAATTTTAAAAGAAATCAAAGAAAAGTAAGCTGAAAAGCGCGCACATGGCTATAACCAAAATATTAAAAAGTATAATTGAGCAGAAGCGGAATTAATTAAAAATAAGCGAAATGAAAACAAGGCACTTGCAAAATTGCTATCAATAGCGTAAAATTTTTTGGCAGGGGTAAGTTTTTAATTATTTTTTTTTAAGTTTGAAGTCGAAATTATGGTTTTGTATTTTAAGCTAACGATAATAGAGTACTTTAATATATTTGACTGGGGATCCCATGCGACTAATTGTGTGATTTTCTTAATGCGCCTAATTAAGAGTTAAAGGCGCCGAAAAACGCGTTCTTGGACATTTTCGGGCCTCTGTGTCGAAGGATATGAAAGCCTAAACACTGCCTTTTAATAATAATAGATTGGCGCTTACACATATGTTCGTGTTTGGCCGAGCTTCTCCTCCGATTTGTGGCGTGCGCCTTGATGTTGTCACACAAAGAGGAGCGACCTACAGTTTTACGCCGACTCCGAACGGCGATTGTATTTTAATGAGAAGCTGTTTTTCATGGCAAAAATACACTCGGAGGTTTGCCATTGCTTGCCGAGGCAAATCCTACAAAATCGGCTGTAATATTTTAGTCAACATAATATTGCTTAAATTTTGTTGGCCTGTGTAATTAATTATAATTAAAAATATTCATGATTAATTGCCATAAAAAAATTAATCAAAAATAACTAAAGAATCAAATTGTATCAAATAATTTTTTTTTATTATTTGATTATTTTTAATTGTTTGATTCTTCTTCTTCTTCTTATTTGGCGCCACAACCTTTTGTCGGTTTCGGTATTTGCTGCTGCCAAAAGGGAGTAGAAAATCTACTCTCTGTATACTTGTAGTACTTGCGTATTAAATTTCAATTCTGGTTGTTAGCCACTAGTTGATATCGTTTGCGGCGCTGGTCAGTGAAATTGAAAGAGTAAAAATAGAATATGGAAATTGACGATGTAAGGAAATGTTTACGGCCTTATTTATAAAAAATAACGTAGATTTAGACAGTTGTTTAATGTGACATTTTCATAAAACTTTTGTATTCAAGCAGCTTTTTAAATCTGTGTATGTACTTATATTTTTTGAAAGTATTATTTCTCGTTTCTAATTTTCTATAAAACTATTTGCAGTCATTAACCAACAAATAAGTTGTCAAAAACAACAACTTAAGCAATGCTGCTATACGAAATAAAATTATTAGTGGCAAATCAAAATTTTGAAAAGTGCCGATTTTCACATTCGATAGTTGGACATGGTAGCGACGAGATGTACGAGCATTTTTTTCTTAAGAGCTGCATACTGATTTAAGAAATTTTTTATAGAAGAAAATTTATTTTCCATTTATTGTGCGTAATTTTATATGAATTTTTAGTTTTTCTTGAGAGCCTTTACAAATAAAAAAAATTTCGGAATATGTAAATACATATGTACATACATACGCAGCCATATAACTTGATTTCAAGAGAAACGAATTTTCATTTGGGCACGTTCAGAAGGCGCAACAGCTCAGTAACTGGTGCGATTGCACCTTCCGAACGCGTTGTTGCCTACTTCTGATAAACTGAATAGTTGCGTGTTAGATGATCGTAATATTTTTCTGATCATTTGAGACAACATGTTGGTGTGTACCTTTGAGAGTTGAATTTGACAGCTAATGTATGAAGTCGTTCAGAAGACGCATAACGATCACTAATTTTTTGTTAGCAACGGTTGCGCTCAACTGCTGCGCCTTCTGAACCTACCTAGAGTCCGACCGAAACTGCATACCAAAATTCGATTAAAAAGTTTGAAATTTTGGTGAAATAAGCAGAATTTTTCTAATTTTTGTACAAAGTTTGAAATCTGAATTTATATGGTGTTTGTTGTATACCAGCTAGACTTTTATAAAAAAAAATAATAAACATTAAATAAAAAAAACAAAATCGGTCAAAATATCGCAATTCTTTTATTTTGTGGACCACTATATGTATGTATATACATACCTAGCATATAAGTTCTTATGCATTGAGTGCAAAAGAGTGTATTTTAGTACAAAACGAAATGAAATTTTATGTTCCTAAATATTTTTTGCTTAGCACCATAAAAAAAAAGTGTTTTATGTAATATACATAAATGTGATATATGTACATATATTTTTATACATACATATGTATGTATGTACATACATGTGTATGTAATGTTGCATAACAAGCCAATTAATTCAATTATTTCTTTTCTTTTGTTTTTTTTTTAACTCCGTGAAATGAACTGATTTTATGAATTAATACATTTATTTGTAACTTTTTATGGAATCGGCATCGGCATCACCATCGGCATCGGCCGATTCTTTCCCCATAAGCCGATTAATCGGCATCGGCATCGGTACCTGAAAAAAATTGGAATCGGTCGGACTCTAAACCTACCCATTGATAGCTTTTTTTTTGATAACACTGTGCGACAGCTCAAATCAAAAAACTTGATCCGATTTTTTAAATCGAAACTACATATTTACATACATATGTACATACGTACATGCATACATAAATATATTTAATATAAAATTGAAATTTTCACATCAAATTGCGCTATCTTCAAACCCATGGTTTCAATAGTACGCATACCCTGTAAGGAAAACACGAACTAGTGAACCAGATTTCTAGTTAAGTACTAGTTCTTTTTCGCCAAAAACGAACCAGTCCGATAGTAACTAGTTCCGCACCAGGCCAAAAGCAGTGAAATGTGGTACTTTCACTAAACTATTTTATTTTAAATTTTAAAAGCAGGGAAGGTAACCATTATGAGTAAAATAATTTAAATCAGCATTTAATCATTATTTTATGAATTATTATTGATTTTATTTTTTCGCTCAAACGGAAATAATTATTATTTGATTTTTATTTTTGGGATTACAAATAATGACTATTTTATGATTTTATTTTTTAGCGCAAAGATTATCATTAATTTTGAGTTTTATTTTTCCACTTAAAAATAATGATAATTTATAAAATTGAAAAGGCCATACAGACGCAACCTACTGAAATTTTGACCTGAAAAGTTTGGGTCTTATTCCTTTTATAAGGGTGCGGCTACCTCTCAAAAGGATACGTTTGTACTCACGCTGGTATAGTTTTTAAGAATCATTATGCTTAGTGATTCCATAAACAAAGGCCAAAATCCTGAAGAATTGAGAAAGGCAATGCAGTTGCAGAAAAAGGGGCATTTAAAAAAAAAAATTGTCAAAATAATTACCACTTTCTCACTAAATTTATTTAAAAATTCAAGCCACCAGAGCTACCTTTTTTTTAAGAATAAACAAATTAATTTTTTTTTTATGTAATCCAGCACAGCTACCTTAATACAGTCAGTCAATAAAGTTTAGGTACAACGAATTTTTCAGAATACGGGCAACTATTTTTTAAATATTTTAGTTTTCGGTAATTTTTTATAAAAATATGGTCAATTCAACAAAAAGATCCCAAAAATCAGAGTTCCAAGCCTTGTGCAAAATTTAAGAAAATTCTGTAAAATTTCATTAAAATAATTCACTTTCTATTTACGCTATCTAGAAAAAAGTTGAGTTTGCAGTTTTTTAGCCCATTCAATTTTAGTATAAATGACGTGCAAGTATGAGGAAGCTAGGACTTACCAAACAACAAAAAAGAAAAAATTGCTAAATATTAATGGTAAGTGCTAGCTACCTCAAACGTGCACTTTGTTATACTAAAATTTAAAGNAGTATAAATGACGTGCAAGTATGAGGAAGCTAGGACTTACCAAACAACAAAAAAGAAAAAATTGCTAAATATTAATGGTAAGTGCTAGCTACCTCAAACGTGCACTTTGTTATACTAATATTGAATGGGCCAAAAAACTGCGTACTTAACTTTTTTTCTAAAGAGCGTAAATTGCAATATTTGGATGGAAATTTGCAGTTTTCTTTAATTTTGTATAAGGTTTGGAACTCTGATTGTTGGGGTTTTTGCTGTAGAATTAGCCATATTTTTATAAAAAATTAGGGGAAAATAAAATATTTGAAAAATAGTTGCCGGTATTGTAAAATCTTCGCTGTACCTAAACTTTATTGACTGACTGTATATCTTATTTAAGTTAAGTACGACAAAAACTTTCGAAGTACTTCATATACATATAAGCTTAAAAGGAACTGAATTTACTTAAAAATCAATATGCTTAAATTTAGACAAAAGGCAACCAATTTTTTTTTACTTTTAAGCAGAACGCACTTTTGTTTTTTACATACTACTTAAGTTTAATACTACTACTACTACTAATTTGGTTTATAAATTTTTAATAAATGCGTTTAAATATTTGTGATGGTATTGTCCTTCCTTCAACCGATCGTATTTAATATAAAAGGGAAATGTTTCGACAAGCATGATTAGAAATGTAGATCTAAGGTGACGAATTTATAACAGGTTGGGAACTATAACAAATGGATGCAGATCGAACTAGATATCATCTGTCGAATTAGGA